GCCTATCTGCTTGTGGTGCCTTCCGATTCAGTGAACCACGCAAATATCAAAAGACAAAGGCTGGCCTGTGACTGTATATTGTAGTACAACAACTACGACAAAGAACTTATTTAGGAAAGCAACACATGGTATTTATACATTCTTACAACAATACAGACAGCTAACAGCCGTTGAAATAATTGACCAGTAACAAAGTGCGTGGGATCCTATCAGGCTGGCAACCCGCTGGTGTTTACCGGCGAGCGAACGCCAAAATGACCCCTGGCTGCCATCCATAGTCTCACATACATGACTTAACTGCAACATTACCTGGTAGAACAAATTTTTCGAAAAAAGACTGTTTCAAAGCGTACAACGAAATCCGGAAGGCACCAGATGACACTCCGAAAACGCATATTATTGCACCTTTCAAACTATTTGAATATCCACATATGTCATTCAGTCTACGGAATGAGGCACAAACATCCCAACATTTCATTAATATAAAGGTATTTTTGTATTTCTCAATGAATGAAAAACAAAACGATGTTGTTGGACGAAGTATCCCGTGATCATGATTTCATGTACGCATACTTAGACGGCTGCCACATGGTGAGTTCAAACGTGGAATACTCACCGTCGACATTTGGATTTAGCACTCAACAGGCCGGGTCTAGCTGGTGTTACTAATAAGATACAAGTGTCAAATAACAGAAGAATCGCTGAGCTTTCTCAGCCATACCACTGACCGCAAGGGTATTCGCCAACTGGACAGTAAGGTCGAGGCAACTTAAAACTTTACAGAGCTAAATACGATGAAAAGTCTTCACACTTTTAATGGCTAGGTAGATTATTACCGATGTCTTATTCAGCCAATTACAGGCCTTCTTTTAAGGGATAATAACCGCACCGAACTTGACTCGTCCGCTAAAAGTGCTCCTATTCCATCAAGAACGACACAAGAAATATAGTGCATAAGGATCCAGCGGTACCATTAAGGATGTCACTTGTTGCATCGGACACCACAATCGACGCAGTTCTGTGACAACTGGTTAGTGGCAAGTGGCTAACACTCGCCTTTCCCTGGAGGCGTCTACAACTGGCAGAAACCGAGTACAGCGCTTTCGGCAGTGAACCTTTGACTATGTACTATGCTATACACCACTTTCCACATTCAGTGTAGGGTCATGAATGCATAATTTCCACTGGCCAAAAACCCCTCACCTACTATCTGAGCTCAACTCCAGATATGTAATCACGACAACTTGATTGCGTTTCACAGTTTACATAGGATATTCGCCATGTATCTGGAGTGAACAACACCGTTCTGGACGAACCATGAGATTCACAGAACACCTACATACCTACCTTACATTATGAGAATAGCCTATCCCACATATATCTTGTTAAAAGCAATCTATACCGCTTATGGTAAATATCCTGTGCATACAGGTCATTTTTTGTTGCATACTGCTCCACAAATTAAATTTTTTTTACTGTCCCATTCTCTGCATTATTTTCTGGAAGGTACACATACATTTTACTTCAAACACTGCTTTTGTTACATTTTCCTGGATTAGATTCTCAGCATTCTTGTTTACTTTTCCAGACAGTGACGGGCACTGGACAGGAAGCAAACGAAGTATGAGACCCAACGGACGGACGTCAAGGAAGCCATATGCATACACCTGACGAGGATAGGTACGTGACCAGTAGGCAATCTATCAAGCCCATTGGAAGAGTTTTAGTAATGCTGCCACTCCTAAGCTTTTGTTTCCTGGTGGTTTCGTATTAGGGTCCTCACAACCCCACTAGAGGGGAGTGAGCTGTAGCAGCAGATAATCACTCAAAATTGTTAGCCTACAGCGCTCATCACTCAAGACTGGATTGTCATCCTCATTGCTTAAGCTGGCTTGTCTAGGTTAGGGCTCACGGTCAAGCATCTGTGCCACTTTGCATGATGTCGTATTGTGTTCGTTCGTTCATCTGTGAACGATCCCAGCTAGTTAAGTTATCAACGTCACACTATGATTTTGGTTCAAAGTACACTTTGTGTTTTGGACGGTCAATGTGGTGTTATGATTTGCCTTCGGTCTACGCAAAACAAATATTATAAAAGTTGTGGGCATGGGAACTTGCGTTAGTATTCATCTTACTTCCCGCAAACGTGAACATGGTGACATCTAAAGTGTTGACTGTCTTCATCGGTTTGTTTTGTAACTTCTGAATTTCATCTCGGACATTATTGTGTGAATTCCTGCTTTTACTTATATGTTTTCCAGACGTCCTCTTTACGCCTTTTGTACATCAGGATTGGAATCCAGTCTTAGACATTTAAGAACGACGTCATTTCTAATGCATCGCTTACTGAAAATCCGACAACTTTCGGACTTTGATTCAGTAGGCTAAAGTCCCGGAGCTTATTAATAGGTCTTAGAACAGGACTGCACTAAGTAGAATTGAAATGTATGTAAGCTCTGCATACTCATGGTGATTCCACATCACACACTGAACCCAAACTCCTTATTGCATGATTTTTTTAACACAAATTTTACACTTACATTAATCCAACTTTTTGTGATTAGAAGCTGTCGTACCTTTTATCTAGGGGAGAGTCCCAACCGCGAACGATAATACAAGGCGTTTACTATTCCTTGACATGTATACTGTACGCCAATCGCTAATAAAACCACAGAACTTAAAAACAACAACCTTTAAATCAAATGAACATGTTCAGTGTTTTATTTAAGGATTTAGAGTTAAATGGTGTCGGAAGTCATTAGGTAAAAGTTCATTTGACATTTATATCAGCTATGCTGAAATACCTATTCTGATGTGGCATGATTCTCAATGGTTATTTGACTGCATACAGCCCATGGCTAAAAATACTTTGAACGTCTGCCTCCTGTCAATGGGATGTTAGTAAAGATAGATTCTGCACCCGATATGTCATACTTTCATGAGGAGCGTTTATGTCCTGTATTCAGTCGAAAAATTGTAAGGCTACATCTTAAGAGCTTATTTATACACAGCCCATATGGCTTCTGTTACGTTTAAAATTGCATCTTTGTTCAATAAAGTTTTAATTTATATACCATTTTGTATTTTGTGTTGATTAGACCGTTTGTGCTTTACTGGACTCTTATTTGAATTGAAATTTTGTTAACTGCAGGCGACTTAGTGTTCAGCCATTGTTTCCTTGGTAATTAGATGCCTGACTGTCTCATATCTGAAGGTCTCTACCATGTTTATCTGATACGTTTAGTTTAATGGAACAATAATCTTGCAGCTCTTCAACATTCCGCCATCAACATAATCCTAATTAGAGCCAATTAGTTTTGTTTTGGATTTCGGTTGTCTCTTTAAAATGTTATTCATGCAGTGGCTTTAACAACGTTTTTAAATTAGGTTGGAAACATCTAGGAAACATCGCACCAACCACAGGCTACAGTATGAATGAGGACGTCATAAACAGAATGAGAAAGGCGAGACAGACCTTCATCATTCCGAAATCAGTGCAGGAATCTACCGCACGAGGCATAAGAAAAGAGTTCTTCTATATATCTCAGAAAATTGGCGTACCACAAAAATCATTTCCACTGAAGGCTTGTATCAACTCCTGCCTTCTCCAGCTGAATATTGAAGATGAAATTGCCAGGAAGAACCGGTAACAAGAAACTCTGGGAATTAAACAACCAAGGGTCTACTGGTCAACAAAAATCCTGAAGAAAGTATGGCCGGATAAGAAACCCTGGGAAGACTGTCGAATGAAATGCACGTCACTCCATCGCTCGAGTGGAACCGAATGGGAAACCACGAGCTGGGCATGTGCCCTAGGGTGATATGGGCAAGATTGGGGCCAGCTACAGGAGATCGCGGAAAATAGAATAGAGTGGAGATGTGCTAGGTTCCACTATGAAAACAATAATTATCTTCGGATGGAATGATAAAATCAAGGTATATTGAAGCTTTGGAACAAGTCGAAAGTATTGTGATGGTTTTATAAAAGAAAACCTTTCGAATATAAGACCCAGTGTATTGCTAACATCTAGCAGCGGACCTCTCAACCATACATGGAACCACAATAGCTTATCCGCTCTCGCTAATGAGGCAAAAACTGTACCTCGTCAATGGATAACGTTAAATCGAAAGACACCCTTGAGGCTTCGGGTGCACATATTAAATTTAAATGAGTTTTAAAAAATTAGAAATAACAGGTGCTAAGATACTGTCTAGTCGGTAGCGAGACAAGTAACTTATTTATAATGCCTACAAACTGGCGTCTTACATGTATAGACATACGGGAATATATTATGAAAGGTTTCTTCGCCCAATGAAAGTCAGATACACTGGTTAAATATTGAAATGCACGGGATGAATGTAGAAGTCTCATGAAGGCACTTAGGTGTTTGTAAGAACCTCTGTTTTAAGCTTACCGTGGAGAAGCATAATGTTATGTGAGCTGCAATGTTTTTGTGAATATGTGGTGTTCCTGAGCACCCGTATTAAAAAAGGGAAGCTGTAGATCTATAAAAGACTGGGGAACAGTGATGATATGTAACTGAATACCTACATATTGCATATAAGGTCAAAGTGTGTGGGATATATGTACTAAGTACCTATTTACCATAGTGAATGTTAGATAAAATCAAAGGTTCTCAGGCAAATCAATTTCAATTGGTTTTCGAAGATGAAATGTAAGTGTTTAAAGCCACCATTTTACCACATGTATACATGTATTCCGAAATCTGTATGAATCAAGGTGCCAGTACATGTAGTCTTAACCGCGTGCGCATACCACTGATATACGCCTATATAATACGTTCAGAGTCCAATCATGTCACTCTATTAATAACCGCGCAATGCAGCCAAAACGGTATTGAACAAATGGCGCAGATAAATGTAAGATGCACTCCAAAAATATTCAAGACTAAAGCGCAGAATATTTTGCTTCATTATTTGCAGCTGTCTACTGTACAAAATTCACTATATTGAGTTTAGGCAATGGTTTGTTTTATAGTATCAACGTAACTCTAGTGCGACCTTGGGGGCTGTAATGACTTTTCCCCGAATTGTGTTTTTCGGGGATTCATTGACACAGGTTGTGGTTTTCCGCATGCAGTAAACTTTCTGTTACGAAAAATAAGAATTAATTTAAACTTTAGATATATTTATATTACTCAAATGTTTAAGGTCTCGTTTAATCGAATACAAACTTATCTACCACTAGCAATTGCTATAGATAAGTTTGTGTTAACACATAGGTGTAGTCAGGAAAGTGGGTATTTTATGTTGCATTTTCCAAATTTCTGCCCACGTATCAACTTATCAAAATTCTCTGTCTCTCCTACTTTGCCTATGTGAGTCCTTTGACTAGGCTGGTAGTTCTTAAGCCTACAAAATTGCTAAATTAATTCTGCACTAACAAGCTGGAGAATTTTTTTTTCAGACCTGGGATATGTCAGTAAAAACGTTGGGGGTTTTTCTTTCGAAAGTGGGCTGTTTTTAACGAGATGGGCATCACTGACACATATATATATATGCATATACATATACATGTATGTATAGGATCATGATCCAATACTAAAGGAATATTTTGTATGCTTGAAAAACCTAGTATGTTACGAAATAATGAGGCTAGTCTAAAGATTGCATTAGACATTGAACAAAAAGCTGTGTTCAAATCTTGTTTGTCAATCTTAAATCGAGGCTGAAAACGCTTAAATGATGCTGAGGATAATGTCAATATGCACTGAGCTAGTGCAGAAAGCAGCAAAGAGTTAGTTTTTCCCCACGGAATATCAACCATTTCATAATCAATTGGGAATTTACTCACTATAGGAAAAAGCGTTCAGGATTCGCGAGCTTTACTTCAACATTATTTTGGGCTTGGCTTCTAACAATCTGTTGATAACTTTAACTAATGGACGAAGTTGCATTCAACTAACAGTGGTCGCTTGTAACTTCGAGCATAAAGTCCTCATTCAGCAGATTAGTTTAACAGTTATCTCTTCCGTCAAAGACATTTCTTTACGAATTTTTGACTTGAGTGAAGCCTCCAGGCAAAGAATTGCAGCTGATTTTGCATGTTTTTAACTGTGTCTGTGTTTCAAGACGTGACGAAAAGTCACCATCTTCTTGACGTACCTGATTTGTCGTTCAAAAGGCCTGAAAGTTGACTATTTGCATACACTTAATCTTTCCATTTGCTTTCTGAATGGACTTCTCACCTATCCTTTGGCTAAACCAACCCTTGGTTTTCTTTACCTAGTGTCACCGATACCAGTGTTTGTCATAACCATAGACTCTGTTAGTTTATAATTTTTGCCACCTCATTAAGTGGGAGTTGTCAGGAATGGTTTTCAGTACATCTATTAGTTATAAGGGAGCTATTAAGATCCACTCATTTTCTCACTGCTTTGTAGTGTATTAGTAGTTTAAAATAGTGCAGGGTAAATTCGTGTCTGCATAATTACCTAGCCACTTTTTTAAACAATTTTTTTTTCTTCCATATTATATAAGTTTACTTCAAATATCATACAGCGATGCCGTGATACTTCAAATAAACTTATCTAATATGCAATTGTATTCTGCCATAGTGCTTAAGTTCACTCATTCGTGCTTCTGGTGTTATATATCAATGGGAAATATTTTGATGCCGAGTTATGTTAATATCATTCGATGGTGTAGACCTAACGCTTGCTGGACACAAAATGTTTGTTCGGTAATTATTCGTGATTGCTTCAAGACCTGGTCATTCCGCGTAGTAGTAAACACGTAACTCACTGGCTGCAGCACCTGGATTTCGGCCAGTGGTCTTCGTTTTCAAATGATGCTTCTTCTACTTAAGTTTGGGCAGTTGAGTAGTGTCATCTTTCATTACACAAAATGTTTGGCTCAGACTAGTGCATAAAAATTCTATTTCGGACAAGTTACCACCTTGTAGGCAACAAATTTATTCCTTTCTGTTTATTGTTTGATGTGTTTAAAATATTTAAGACTTCTGCAATCAATCTTTATGTAAGTATGAACTCCATCTTAGAATCTCAACACAGTGAAAATGAACTCTTCGTCAACTTCCATTGACATATATTAATATAACTAGATATCTTGCTTTTAGTATGTGAAATGGTTGAGAATGGGAGATATTCTGCGCGTTCGATCATTGGTATCTCCGTAGGAACACTCGTGTAAGGTAGCGTCACCATGTAAATAATCCTGAGTTCTGACGATAAGTGAAGATTGTCTTCCAATCAATTTTATTGTCTTGGGACATCTGCTTTGGTAACTTGATTATGTACTATGAGTATCATTCAATACACTCCTCCCATACCGTTCTTTGTTTCCTATACCTTGAACTGCACAGAGAAATCAGACAGTTCATCAACTTATGATGTGGTGTTGTGGAATGGAAGTAGACAACACCATTGGGTGAGGGGGATCTGAAGATGCTATCATATTCAGTTCAAAATCGATGGTGAACATGCTGCAGTATGAAGTTACGAGCACTCTTTTGATTATGCTTGTTTCATTTTGTTTTTCCCCGACAACTTTTTCGGTTTTTAATCAGGCTTTAAAAATATCTTCTACGCCACTATTCTTGTTATTAAATTCCGTCTGTATGATTTTACTGAGTAAAAGCAGAAGTAGCCTTACTTTTATATCGGATTTCGTGGTCTCAGAATACTTAATGGTTGGTCAGCTAAAACAAATTGATGTTGACTTCTGGTCATGGTGCACCCTATATCAGTCAGCGTAATGACTGTGACAATAGGGATCTCATTCCTCTCAATGCAAGTGAAGAACGTCACTTAAGGATATTCAGCCTCTGCATGCAATAAAGTCGGGAGCTGGTCAAGGAGAACATAAATTACAAAATTATTCCATAAGTTGTTTCTGCTAGACAAGAAATACAGTTGTCTAGGCAGTGTAGTATCCTCTAAAAACATCTCGAAGGGTGGCTTACAGTTTCCAGGCCTTATGTTTGTACACTTCATGTGAGGCACTAGTCATATAGTGGACAACCTAAAAGTGTTCAAGATAATCAACAGATGAAAGAAACCAATGCGTTGGTTATTCCTGAGGCATTCGTCGTCAGACATTTGAAACCAAGTGTATGCATCAAGGAGAAGACAGTGTTCAGCCTCGCATTATCTTAGTGATTATAATTACAAAACAGTTATACAGTCACTTAGTTTGGTATATCTTATAGTTCTGTTTCATTTTTCATATGAAATCCGTTACCTTACTCTTTCGATTATTGTAAATTGTTTTAGCTTAACAATTTCTGGTTAGACATTTTGAACTCCCCCTATTTTTCATGAATATTCCTCTAATTATCCTATGAATAGTTAGTCCTTTTAACAACTGGTAAGTGATGTACTTTCACCACTTACGTTACCTAGAGTGAAAGGTATGTTCGAACTTTTTAAAAGTTTATTTTTAAGTACTATTTAGGTTGTAAGGAGTTAAAATGAATCCGTCAAATGATAAAAACGAGGTCTTATTATCCCGCTATGTTTTTTATTCTTGCTCGCTGGAAGTTCAAAGTGGAAGTAAGCATCAGTTATCAATCTGCCTCTTTCAAAATTAGACAGGCTTTGTTGAATCCAAAAGCAACATTAAATAAGAAAATCTTAAGCTTTACTAAAATGTACTTATTAAGACCTGTATCATATATTTTCACCAAAATACTTTCAGGTCAATTAGTGGGAAAGTCGGGTTGAAATCTTTAGTGTTATCACTATTTTTATGATTCCTTGCGCTCAAATATTTATTAAACCAAACAATTTATTATTTGACTTATTGTGTTTCAGTTTGGCTGGACTCATGAAGGGGGCTGGTTGTCAATTCTGGCTTCAGTATTTGTCAGGTGGGTTTTTTATTTCGTTAAGGTGTTCCCAATATCATGTCAATTAACTGCTTAAAAATTGTGGCTACTAACAAATAAGATTAGGTAAGTCCACCTAGATTATAGGATTTGTCGATGATTACTTAGAATGCTGTTATTTTAACGTGTCTTTAACCACTGATTCTTAGCATTTTGAAAGTCTCATCTAATTGGTAAGCACCTCCCTACGTGACTCAAACCAACAACTAATGGATTTATTGGATAAATGCTAAATCTAAATCTTACAACCTAGTCTTATGCCATGTAATATGGTCGTCAAGAAAGTTGATGGTTAGGCAGGTGAAACATGACCTAATTATCATCACAAATAATAAAATTGTCCACATATCGCTTATACATATTCACACTCAAGATAATTTCTTTCAATGGACCATCTTCTAAACTCGTCATGAAAATATCCGCTAAGAGAGATTCTAAAAAAGACCTTATGGCTACTTCGTCCCATTGATTATAGATGACATCATTAAATCTAAATTGCAAATTAAAGGTGCTTCTCCTTTAGATAGTTAGTCGGTATTCCGATGCTTATGTTTTCGAAATCACAGGGATAACAGATACTTTCTATTAGTGGTACATTTGTAAATTGAGAACAAACATTTAATTAAATCATCTGATTGCTGGTCACATTAATTCCATCAATACAATTGACGAAGTGTCGGAGAAACTTTGTTTACACAAATTCTATCACACTGGTTCGAGAATTTCAGCAAGTCATTTTGCTGTAGAATTGTTAAATGAGTTCAGTATATTCACTACAGGTTGCAGAGGAAGTCAGGTCATTCAGTCACGCATGATTTATCTCCTAAAGTTATTTACAGGGCTAAGTTCAGTTACTCTAAAAATTGACGGTTTTTCTATTCATACGTAGACGTAGCTCTAATATATGTAGTTAGTAACCTAAACTATTTATTCAAGAAGGTTTCATTAAACTCTCTTCTTTACTTTGTTCATAGTAATGTTTCTTTTAAGATTTTATTCTATCTTCGTCTACTTAATAATCTTTGAAAATTTTGTAATTCATTCACTTCATATCTGTCTCTTAACCATCATGTTATTTATCTTGATACTTCTCCTATTGACTGAATGACTTTTTCCGTTTTTTAAATACGACTGAACTGCTTGAAAAGGAAGTCGTTCGAAAAACATATTTCTTCTCTACACTAGAAATTGTTTTCCCTTATGAATAAACTGGTATTTATGCCTATGCCGAAACCTGTTATATGTCAATACTCTCTCCATGGGGGCCGAAAACTTACGGATTTATTGGGTTTTTTTTTTACTGAACTCTTCTAAGAATTACGGAACCTAGAATCTTAGATATTATGTTGGTAAAAAAGTATGCTATCTCCTTATGTACATATTCCAAAGCGGCTGCAAGAACAAATAAGATTACCCGATACAATTAATCCTGGAAATATATATCCAACATCATCTGCTGTATAGCACATCATAGAGGTGGGTCACAAAGTTGGTTTCAGTAATTCCCTTAAACCCATATATAAAACGGGTTTGGGTCACATGCCTAAATTTGTCGAAACCTTATCCATAACAATCTTTAAACCTATTCTGTCTGTTTAAAAACTATTTGCCATTACTTCGAACCTACCGTGGTAATCCAGTTTTCAAACCAAGGTTCATTTCACTTAAAAATGCTTCCATTCCTTTTTTTCTTACATCATTTTCCTACCTCTTATATGTGACCATGACCTGTAAACGTTTGGACTTAAGTTGATAAAAATTATAATCCTGTATGCTCTGTTTCCTTCTATGCAAATAAGTATGGCTAGTACGTGTGCTATCAAGGGTGTCCGAATTGTGTTGCTCTCGATTTTGCCAGAGCATGGTTTTGTCTGTATGTTAACCTTAGAAAATTGTCTTAATAACAAAGTTTTTACAGTATTCAGCTGAAGAAACCCACCGAAATACATGAATTCATTGAATACTGTTTCACATTTGTTGCCTGTTTTAAGCAAAGTTATAAGCAAGTTATAGTTCCTAAGGAAATGAAATACAAGCTTTATTTCTATTCCTATGAATGACTGTAGATTCTGTATAATTAAGAAATACTACAGCTTGTAGATAGCGCGTGTTGGAAAAAAAATTTGTTAAGTGAAGTCGTGTAAGTGGCCATGTGAGTGGATGCCCAATGAACCAATGTAAAACTTTCCACTACAGTATAAGAGTTCATACTGTTCTATATTTAGGTAAAGTAAGCAAAATAAGAAGTAGTATGTTGATAGTTTCTATTATTATTTTCACTAAAGTCTTATCTTTTTCAGGAGGGTTGACGTAATCGGAAGAGGATTTTCTGGTTACAACACACGTATGTGTAAAGCTGTGCTTCCACTTCTCTATCCGAATAAGGATTCACTAAAGGACTGTGTATTTTTCACAATTTTTCTTGGAGCTAATGATGCTTGTTTAAGTCAGCAGCAGCATGTGCCAATTGAAGAGTATAAAAGGAATCTACAATGGATGATTAAATATCTTAATGTATGTTCTTATTTTTCTGGCTCAAATTCTACTATGTGTTTATTCTATGTTTAAAAAAGGATGCATTTAGAGTTTTTTGAAGGCTAAGTTTAACTTGCTGATTCGCTTTATGGAAGTAATCAATAATATATGCAGGCTGGGATATTCTCGTTGCTTGGTATTAACTTAAACAGTATGAGCAAAAAAGCTATTTTTATTGGTGTTTGTTTTTAACTATTGTGGTATGAAGTGCATTGTTTAAAACAACGGCGTCATAAAATTTTACAGATAGCGGAAAGTAAGGGAGTCATTATTATAAAAGTTTTTGTATCTCCCAATGAATGAAAAACAAAACGATATTGTTTTTACTGACGTTTTTCTATACAGTGCTAAGAGCTTTATCAACGTATTATTAAACCAAAATTTGCAAAATCTCAGTTTATGTATAACAACTTAATCATCGTTCATCAGCATGGGGTAATTTCTTTGTTGTCAAGTTGATCAATTGATAAATACAACAAAGGGGATGGTAGATATGGCTAGAAAGGGATCAGTGGTTAAATATGCTTTCAATAAGCTTCAAATACGTCGAAAACTGTATATAGAAAACAAAAATCAATAGGATTAACTTCTATCTTCATTTTGGACAGTATATACTAATGAACTCGGCTATTAAATTGAGTGAAGTGCTCAAATTTATGAAGTTATTCTACTTGACTGATTTATTTATAGTACGAATTAACTATCAAAACAAATAGCATTGGAGAATCTTGAACACCTTTCTTTAATTCTGCTAATGAGGTTGTAAAAATAAGTAGAATAGTTGTGTATGCTTCATTTGATATGAGATAGTGAAATAAATTCCTATGTAATGTTCCGAAGATGGAGTGCATATGACAGTGTTCAATTCTCTATTGAAGGAATCTAAAAGAAGATTGATGCATTCCCGGCTATTTTCGTAAATATCAACACCGAGATTTATCTAATGGAATTGCTTTTAACATTAAATAGATGCTTGTTGTAGAGAATGTGTTCCTCCCATCACAGTGATTAGAAAAAGTAAGATTCTGACATTTTGCCATTTCGTGGTGACCGCCTAATCGACGAAACAAAACGTTTAAAAGTTACCTTGATGTGTATAAATACATGAATATATACAGAACGAATGAAGATGAGATGTATTATCATTGTAGAATCGTGATCGATAAGGACATCAACACATTGGTGTTCCAATCGATCCAACTGATAAATCCAGAAATGATGATTCCGATGTCAGCTGTTGTTAATTCTTTTAGAGTGTATTCTGTCTATCTGTTTTCAGCATAGAATTTTGCATCGATATGCAGCAGTTCAAGTTGCCACACTCCATTTAGCACACAAAGCAAGAGAAGAAAGTAAAATGAAATGCAAAATAGAGACAGTAGACAGAGATATGAGACAAAGGGAATAGTAACAACGAAGAACAATATAGTTTCATTGGAAATAATAAGTCACAAGGAGTGGATGCATCTGCGTCAGCCATTGATTTTTACCATCCCGAGGACCCCAACCAGTCAGGAAGTCTACACCTCCATACGTGGCTGGCTTAAACTAACTGTTGTGGATTTCATTGACTGATGTTATGTTTTGGTTTGACCACCAATAGCTGACTCTTTTCCAATCTGACTCTATGTCAGCTAACATTGCCCATTGTCGAGGAAGGCGATAAATGGCTAGACATACGTTACATACATGTCCTAACCCCATCTCAGTCGATGTTACCTCACAGCCTCGTCCCCTCTTTACCTAGCACTCGACCGATGCCTCACCTCAATATTGCTCACTTTATTATACCACTTAACGCGGTGGATAGAACGCAGGCAACTATGGTCAAAGACAGCTAGCCAGCCTTTTCGTGTCCTCCACTCTCAGTGGCCAGGTCTCACAACCATAAAAGAGGACAGAGCGGACTGATGAACAGTACACCGGCCCTTTGGCCGACAGCCGGATATCACGTCTACGCCAGAGATGGCGTAAACTGGCATATGCGAAACTAGCCTTCTGTATCCGCCATGTTGAGATCTCGTCAGAGATCAACTCTTTGGCGTTGGCTGATGGTACTTCCAAAACAACTGAAGTGATCAATATGCTCTACCACTTCACTCCCTATTTCTAAGCTAGGAGTCAGTGTAGTCCAGTCCTGTAACATCATCTTACATTTGGCGGGAGCGAATCGCATGCCAAACATTCGTAAATTGCAGCTCAAGGTGTTCAGAAAACTGCATTTTGTCAGCGTCTTCACCTAGAAGGACTATATCATCTGCATATTCTAAGTCAGCGAGATTATACCCTGGTAACAAGTCAATCCCTGAATCTGTGAAGTGACTTAGGGTTAAGTCCATTAGTACATCTATGATGGAATTGAATAGAAATGAGGATAATGGGCATCACTGATGGACACCACTAATCATCACCACTTCAGATGACAACTCACCGTAAGCCCTCACCTGGCTGGCTGCATGAGTTCGAGTAAAGTGAGTGCCTTGATCAGTGCAATGTATTTTCTCGGTATTCCTTTTACAGCCAAGCATTGCCAGAGTACCTCTCGGTCGACAAAATCGAACGACGCTTTCAGGCTAAGGAATGTGACAACTGTTGTACGCCGTTAAGTATACCTATGTTCCAGAATCTGTTGAAGGGTGAAGATAAGATGAATACACCCTATTCCTCGTCTAAAGCCTGCCTGTTTCTCTCGTGTTTGTGCCTCCCGAGCACCACTTAGTTTACGCATGATTATTGAGTCTGGATCTTTAGATACCATATTGGTGAAGCTAATAACCCCCTGTGATTATCATAGGAAGAATTGTCTCCCTTCGTATATGTCGGGATAATCAGTAACTAAGGCTGTCACTAGAGTGTATTACTTGGGTATTACTCACAAAAATTACATCGATTGTAAATACATAAAACAATGTTTATTGAGTAAAACAATGCAATTTAAAGTAAGCTTCAAACAGGGATTCGTATATAATACAGTTATTATTTATTATTTGATAACACACACTTTTCCAGTTTTCAATATACAATAGAATTTCTAGTCTGTTCTTTTTAATTTAATTACAGCAAATGGAGTTACCAGTGGATCACATCCTGTTGATTAGTTTACCTCCTGTAGATGAAAATAAGTGGGGTGTCACTGAAAGAGCTGAAGGTGATTTATTTACAATTATAATCTATAAATTATGCGACAATAAAAATTTCTCTTGGAAATCGGTTTTTGTTATTACAGATAAGTTTGTTCCAGTAATATTTCTTGTACATTTTGAAAAGAAATTTGTTCGACCACTTACAGTAGTTAGTGATCTATGTGATATTATTACCATTAGTAAAGTGATCTTCGAAAACTAATGTGTTTCTGTGAAAACATAAATCTAATGGTAGACATAATCCAATTTGTAATTCACGAAAAATACCCATCCAAACATGGAAATAAAGAATTATCAGTTCAGTGAAGAGACTCTTTTCGCCGAATTCATTCACCCAGCTGTACAATCGCAATTACATTTAATTATTTTTGTATGTGTGTGCACATTCAGTCTGTTAAACATAGCACAAAAACGAAACGAATTAGTTTTGAGTACTATTCGGATCATCAAAACATTACACAACAGTGAAAATGACAAAGTTTGAACTAAAGCTTGCGCACATACTGATTGGCCAGTATTAAATATGTGTCCAATTGTAGCACGCCTTATTGATTCATCGTGACCTTTCTGTAGTCAACTGGGGGTAAGGTTCTTTGATTCTTTTAGATAAAACACGCATCAAACAACTTATATATCTCACCCTACTGGAGCAAGTACATTAGCAGTTACAAGTATAAGTAGTCGAATGCGTTAGTTTATCTTTGGATTTATTGGAGTACATTGAGTGGCAAGGAATACCAATCTTAGCGTAAAACCAAAAAATGGTCTTTTCAAAAAGTTTGATATTCTCTCCCTTAGACTGTCGGCCAGAAGGTCGCCTTTGAATGCTACATGCATGTATAACATCTCCGGCATACATACGGGGTGTTCTTTGTTGGGTTTGGGTTTTATGTGTTTATCTATGAAGTGTGGGAGTGGGTAGCCACTTTCAGTTATTGTTTTTTTAAAGAGTGATGTCTTCATCTACCGACTCAGGACTACATATTCTTCGGATCCTGGTCGCAAGAGATTCGTTTTTAAACAAAAATCAATCAATATATGCATTTTTTAAAAATGAACTGTGTGCAAGCACGTTTAAGTTGTTTCTGTAGATATACTTAATAATGACTATGGCCTGTGAGCAGCTGATGAGAAGCCAGCGAAATAAATGATGGTACCATTTTATTCTGTGAAAACTGTTGTTCTTGATTTATTCAAATTCATTAAGGGGAATAAATGTATGAAATTATTGTTTGTTTGTATTTGAAATTTATTCTGATTGATGTTGAATAGCACTGATGAATTATTTATTATAAATATTATTTTGTAGGGCTACCGCTCACACGGAAGTTAGTGAACTATGCAAATTATGCAATTGCATGTGAAGAAGTTTCAAAATTGAATCAGGTTAATCATATCAATTTGTTTGAGGCTATGATCAACCAAAAAGTGAGTTTTTTATCACGCATACTCCTGTATGTATGCGGTTTGGCTTAATTTTTCAAATATCTTTAATGACTAAATGAATTAATTGTTATGCATGGTGAAAGAAAGACTGCATGTAGTGGCATAAATTGAAGCAGTTATTAGTGGCAATGACTGTATCAACATGTACTGCGTCGCATAAACACTACAGATGAAACTACATTCTTAGTGCACAAGTTATCTCACAGTGATCAGTAAGTTAAGTAACATAGTTTCAACGAACAATTTTTCAGTCATTTGAAAGTACGAGTTGATTAGCAGTATATTCACACTGTCTATACTGTCTATATTACGCAGGATGTTAAAGGTTGTCAGCAGGGTAAGCAACGTGCCACTTAACCAGCTTGTTAATATTCTGGTTGACAGGCACATGGACTCATGTGAAAAATGGGCCAAATCCATTTTATCTAACTCACACCACCCTCTTCACTCACAACTCTCCCTTTGCATCTCATCAGGCAAAACCAGAAGCCTACATAGAAAACTATATGCTCACACCAGCAAGTGCAAAAACTCAACCATACCCTACTTAGCTCGTGTTCTGTGCGATAAAGAAAGCATTAGGCGTGACACCTATAATTCATTAAATAGTCAGTAGTACAACTGGACCTCGTCTTTCCAACTCATATCATTTATAGGTACAATATTTTCTTTCTTTCTTTTCCTTTTCTCTCTCTTCTTTTTCCGTTATGTGCTGCTTTGTTTCTTTCTTCCGCTTACACCAGTAAATATATTAGCACCTACTTTTCTAACACCTTCAAACACTGTTCAACTTTGGCTTTGCTACCGACGTGCCAATATGTTGTTGCCATATTGAACTGAGATTTCCTTAATATATGTAGAATTCTATTTATTGATAATGTACTAACTGGATGCAATACTGTAGTAAAAAAATGCTGAGAATTCCATTCTGTATCACAAGTACTGTTTTGGAATAAAACAAAGTATTATTATTAATTAAATAAAAACAGGAAAACAGTTTGGCAAAGTGGCTAACCATCACAGATCATGCTGGTTTGGTGTTAATTTAGTTGCCAACTTACTTCGCGGTCGACACAGTCGAAGGCCTTAAAGTCTACAAAGTTTAGGTAGGGAGTTGGCTACCATTCAAGGCTGTGTTCGATTATGTTGAGCAGTGTTGCGATTTGTTCCTTGCACGACTTGTTTTTCGTGGATATCTAGCTTGTTCCTTGTAAAATCTTCCACCTAGTACATCTTCCAGTCTTTCCATTATGATGCGGTTTAATTATTTTGCATGAGTGAATAGGAGCGTGATATCAGGCCAGTTCTTGCTATGATTTAAGTAGCCCTTCTTTGGCAAGTAGGTTAACTGTTTGTGTACATTGGATATCCAATGTAAGGTTTATTTACCAGTCTTGTATGTGGCTTGATTGGTTAACAGAAAGTAACCAATGCCACATTTGTAGTCCTTAATACTGCTACTGACTTAATTCTATCAGTCAACTTTTCAATGCGGCCGCCAGGGTAGGTAACGCTCCATCGTGGTTAAACGGTTGAAGGCAGTCGGAAGGAAGCCCTGCACTTATGCTTCCTGCCTGTTGGCATTCGTCAATGGGGCATATTTGCAACCTCGAATGAAACTGACGTCTACTCGGAAATTTGAATCTGAGTCACCCAGGTGTAGGACTCCCAGCAGATTGCCTTTAACTTCCTCACTGTAGGTGATTTCACTAATAAGAAGTTTTGTACCAATTCTAACTGTGGCGTTTGTTGTGATGATTCGATACGGTAGCACAAATACCCACGTCTTAAAGCACTTTTCTCCTCGCGCATTTTTTTCCCGTATATCCTATCCAGGCAAGTTTATTCTGAAGTGATATACATATTAAATAGACCACCTAAATGATACAGCTCTCAACAATTACCGCAGTCTGTTTGTTCATTCAAATATTTATTTTAGTAAAAACTTTTGTTTATTACAACTGAGGTAATATTGCTTTATATTAAATAGTCTTTGTTTTCTCAATTTTTAGGATTGGGAATCTTTTCTTTCAGACGGCTTACACTTCTCTAGAAAAGGGTCTGAATTTTTAGCCAACATTTTACAGGCCTTCTTCGCTGATAAACTAAGTGGTTTAAAATGGTGGTTCCCAGATTGGAAAACTATAAACCCGATAACTCCAGAGATGTCTATCAATGGCGATCATGAATCTAAAGTGTGATTTTTCATTCAGAATTTTGTGAATAATACATTTCCTCACATGTAATTTGTTGTTTTTTTGCACTCGGAAAATATCTAGTAATGTGTCTACGTTTATCCATAAATACGCTCAGTAAATAATTTAAATTCGAAGTTTCACTTGCTACTGACGAACAACAACCAGTATGAACTAGTCACTGTGAAACCCATCACATGCACGAGGTTTCTTCTAGTAGGCTGTTTACATATTTCCAAATGATAGCAAATATATTCTTCGTGTTAGTAAATATAAGTATCATATGTCAATAAGCATAACTGTGCTATAAGGTGGTAGGTAGTTGAGGTGAAGATTCAGTCGACACGAAAGTTATCAGGTTCGGAACTTGTCAAATGTTAAAAGATAACAGATTGTACGGCCCTACAATCCTAGTGCAGAAAATTAACGTATGTTTGCTTTCAAAACATTCATCTCTGTCCGAGTTGAGGGACGCAGAAACTGCTTGTGTTGATCACGTCTGATTTGCGTGGTTCAGTAAATCCAACCGGTCTTTTAACTTTTAACTATAAGCAGCTGTTTATCTCCATTTCCATTCTCCTAGTGCCAGCAAAATTTGAAGTGTTTTTAAAGCTCAAACAATTGGAAGGCTAGTGAAAGTCAATAGAGTAGTTTCGCTACTCACTACTGTTCAGCTTATTTCTTTAATCAAAACCAGTCTGGATCCCCCTGTGCGTATATTATTATGTTAAAGGTGTTAAGAATCTCTGACTTTCTACTACTACTACCTGCTATTTATTTTCAGTTTCTATTATCTTTCCTAGGGGAGACTGAAAGCAGCCTTATAGCTTCATCTTTCTACAATCTACTTCCTGAATTATCGACTGTAATCTCTCAGGAATTGGTTTATTATTGGAAGGAAGTGTTGTTCATCTGCAGTATAGGGATAAATGTAACTTACAAGTATTGGTTTTGTAGGGATTTTGTTTGATTGGATGGAGGATTTCAGCATGAGCTGACATCAGTTAGAGGACCACTGGAAAACGTACTGCATACTGATGAAGAGTCCCAAACTAGGACGAAACAGCTGTCCAGTACTCTCAGGTTTTCCAGTGGTTCTCTAACTGATGTCAGCTCATGATAAATGTAACTCTTTAGGTGAAGATACAATCTTTAGAAAATCCTAAGTAAAATGATTTGCAGTTTCGCTTCGGTGAAATGTTACGTGATACCGCAGGACCGGTCTACTAGATTAAGTGAGATAGTCAGTAGTATTAAACACTTCGCTTACTTGCGAAATTTCTGCAGCCCTAATGAACTAGTTGCTGGTGGAATCTCAGTGTGGACATAAAGACTCGTTCGGTGAACTGAGACACCTTTGTTGCAAGCGTAATGTTTGGGCTGTACAACAGTTTACTTTGTCCAGCATTACAGCTATAACAAAAATGTTGCTGACAGTCGAGGAATTAAAATAAAATCAGCTGTTTTTGACCATACGTGCCTCCAACCGATTGTCTGTTTATACTGAAGCAGCATAATAAGAAAATGACGAGGTCAGCTGCAGGAAAAAGAAGCCGGTGCGTCGGTGGCACAGCTGTTAGGAACCTGCCGACCATGCACATGGTCCGGGGTTCGATCCCCTGCCGACGCACACCCGATATCTATGGTCGGCCTGCAAAATTTGGGCTACCGATATCACATGCTGAAAATTCCATACCTGTATCGAAAAAATACGGTGTGGAATCAAGCTGTAATAAAAAAAAATAAATAAAGATAATAAATACATATCTATTGGCTTCGTCACACTTTGCAAATCTGCGATTGTATACCTAATATGAACGTTTCTAACAAATATATGCTGTCTCTTGACGTCGGATCAGTCTTCACTGACGTTCCACTAACGGAAACTATCTGTTTTATATGCAGATATATAGATAAAAAACAGTTGAACATCGGAGTATCAACAGCATCTTAGGAGGAACTACTGCTAAGATGTACATTTAACGTACAATTCATATTCACCGCCATCATTTACATTACCCCGTTGTGAGTCCATTGCTAGGAGACTGCTTCATGGTCTATCGATGATTCCCAACCGTATACAAGATCTGTGGACAACATTTCAAGTATTCGTAATAAGAAATGTGACCATAACCAGTTGGTATATGTATTTAATGACTGCTATCAGGCGATAAAATTCACTCTTCAAATGGAAAATTCCATTTCTTAATATTGCACTAAGAACAGTCGACGAAACCTCAAGAATGTCTGTCCATAGAAAACCTACATGGAACGATTAATTGAGGAATTTCTACAAATTTTAATTACATACCCCATTGCGAAGAATTTCAACATCCTTCAGAACACTCTTCTCAGCAACGCTGAGATCATTTCGCAGAAGCCTGAAAGACAAAATCTCGCTTCTAACCAATTCAATGTACATATATATCAGTCCACCTGTAGAGCAGAGTACATTGATTTTTCGATATTCTCAAGAGAAGGATAACATCATCTCTAAGAATATTCTTTGCAGCAACACTAAGAATAGTGTTCTCCAGTTGACCACTGATCTGCAGAAGCCTCAAGGACAAGATCATGCATCTGACCACTTCTATGTGCATATAACAGTTCACCTGCTGCTGTGGAGCCAGGTACATCGGTTGTTCGACGCGCATCCTGTCTAAGAGGATTCAAGAACACTATCCAGAATGGTTGCGGAAAGGCTATAGTGGTGCTATAAGGAGTGCGATAATTGAACACCTGATTAACAATGATCATTCCATCTCAGCAAACGCCTCCTTCAAAGTAATCTGCAGAGTCAAGAATAACCTACCAAAGGCAATACGGTTTCGTCTTCTTTGTATCGCTGAAGCTCTGGCTATTCATATAGAAAAACCGGAGCAGTGCATACAAAAGAGAATTACTCAACCACTTCTATTATCATCGTAACAACTTTGTTGATTTTGATGACTTAATTTTATTTGTTTACCTGTTTCTTTAATTACTTATAATCCTTGCATTCATTTCAAACTCTTACGTAATTTCGTACTCTCTACTTTGTTCCTATGTGTATTCTGAGTATAACTCAAACATCAAACTATTCATACTATTAGATAACTCCCTCTAAACAACTGTTTGTGGCAACTCATCATCTTTGTTATTAAACTAGTTTCATTAACACCCAATTTTCTGGACCGCTTTTGTATTACGCAACTCCACCCAAAACTTACTAATTTCCCCTGGTTAGTTAAAATAACCATAACCAATTGTATTTTTGTTTGACAAACATACATACAAAATAACTCATATATATTTGCGATTGTACAGCTAAGAAAATGAATTCGCCGAAAAGCGACTCTTCGCAGAACTGCGTGTTTTGTTTTCATTAATGCCTGGATGGAGATTATTTATGAATTTTCGATATCTCTCCTATCTAAAAGCGTCCAAAAACACTATCTCGCTTGGTTGCATAAGGAGTACAATAATTATACATTGTTGATAATGGATTTTCTGTTTCAACAAATTCGTGCTTCAAAGTGATAAGCAATCTGCCTTTGTATTGCTGAAAATCTAGCCATCCAGATACGGTAGCCAAAGCTGTGCATACAAAAGAGAATTCTCTAACCACTTATATTATCACGCCAATTATCCTGTTATTTTCATTATAAAACTCTATGCTTAAGACAATTATCAATTTTTTTTATTTTGGTTATAGCTTGAAACCACACAGTATTTTTGGTACAGGCATGGAATTTTCAGCATGTGATATCGGTAGCCCAAATTTTGCAGGCCAACCATAGATATCGGGTGTGCGTCGGCAGGGGATCGAACCTCGGACCATGTGCATGGTCGGCGAGCTTCCTAACTGCTGTGCCACCGACGCACTTATGTGTTTAGCATGTACATGAATGAGATTGTACAGCTAAACAAAATGCAATCGCCGAAAACAGCCTTATCCCTAAACCACTCGCTTTGTTTCTCATTAATGCTTGGATGAGGATTATTTATGAAGTCGAACTATCACACTTTTGTGCAAATTCACTGACAACTGGAATTTGACTCAGTGAACGGATGGCGACAAACTCGCTTCATAACATAAGGAGTCCTGAGTATTCTATTCCTGGGGAATTAATAGGCAGGTACTGCTGCATAGCCTCAGACCGGAATGAAACAATTACAACAACAATGTTTCGCTAACTAATATCTGTTGGTTGAATAACTGTAAGCGTTCTACAAATAACTAATAGAAAAGAGTGAGGAAACAAGAAATTCGCGATCGCGTTAATTCAGACGACGTTACACTATCGATTATAAAAATGATGCGTAATCAACCTGCGGGTTTTAAGGTGCGGAATAAATATTTGTGTTGAGTTATGAAGAATTAAATAAAAAAACATCATAATTTTACTAAGTATTGTTTACTTACAATAATAAGAAAGCTAGGTCATGAATGAAAACACTAATAATTTTCATGAACGTTTTTCTTTGACATAACCGAACATCGGCACAAAAGAAAATAGTAAAATAGTTGTAGGAGTAGAATCTGAAGGTATCCAAAAGGTCAAATACAAAATGTGATCCTCCGTTTACATTAGGGAGGAAGAAATGCAACACTGTGATACAATCACCGACAGTACAGATTTATTATTAATTTGTTTTTACAACCAAGGTAGTAAACTTGGGTTCATATGTATCAAATTGGTAGGCTTTACAGCTTCATGAATAAGTTTCCAAGACTTCGGCTCAGTTCCTGAATAATCTGAAGCAACTAAAAAAAAATGTAAACAATTAGTGTAGCTAGCAGGAAATTAACACGTGATAGTAATCATTTAAAATGTAATGACATTTATACTGAATTGATGTTAAGTACTGCAATATTTATCTTTGATATGATTGAGGTTGAATTCGATTATTGTATGGGCACACAATACGAATTCATCTATCAGTGTTAAAAATAAATTGGCAAGAAGGACTCAGTGAAGACTTTAAGTAAAAACGTAGACGAAATAAGTGGAGTCTTATATCATGTTCAGAAACATTATTGCAAATTTAATTCATTTGATATTTCAAAA